ACAATTTCTCTGTTTTAGATCTATAGGCTTATGGCGCGTTCAGACCGGATCATGCTGCGTCGGCTTTCAATGCAAAGTCTATGGTGACTCGCGTTCGAACGTCACAACGCACGGACCTCTTGGCACGCACAGACGGACTGTTCAGTAGACACGCACAGACGGACTGCAGTAGACACGCACTGACGGACTGTTCAGTAGACACGCACAGACGGACTGCAGTAGACACGCACAGACGGACTGTTCAGTAGACACGCACAGACGGACTGTTCAGTAGACACGCACAGACGGACTGTTCAGTAGAGACGCACAGACGGACTGTTCAGTAGACACGCACGGACAGACTGTTCAGTAGAGACGCACGGACGGACTGTTCAGTAGAGACGCACAGACGGACTGTTCAGTAGACACGCACGGACGGACTGTTCAGTAGACACGCACAGACGGACTGTTCAGTAGACACGCACGGACAGACTGTTCAGTAGAGACGCACGGACGGACTGTTCAGTAGACACGCACGGACGGACTGTTCAGTAGAGACGCACGGACGGACTGTTCAGTAGAGACGCACAGACGGACTGTTCAGTAGACACGCACGGACGGACTGTTCAGTAGACACGCACGGACGGACTGTTCAGTAGAGACGCACAGACGGACTGTTCAGTGGAGACGCACGGACGGACTGTTCAGTAGAGACGCACAGACGGACTGTTCAGTAGACACGCACTGACGGACTGTTCAGTAGACACGCACTGACGGACTGTTCAGTAGAGACGCACAGACGGACTGTTCAGTAGACACGCACTGACGGACTGTTCAGTAGAGACGCACGGACGGACTGTTCAGTAGAGACGCACTGACGGACTGTTCAGTAGACACGCACAGACGGACTGTTCAGTAGACACGCACGGACGGACTGTTCAGTAGACACGCACTGACGGACTGTTCAGTAGACACGCACTGACGGACTGTTCAGTAGACACGCACGGACGGACTGTTCAGTAGAGACGCACAGACGGACTGTTCAGTAGACACGCACGGACGGACTGTTCAGTAGACACGCACTGACGGACTGTTCAGTAGAGACGCACAGACGGACTGTTCAGTAGACACGCACTGACGGACTGTTCAGTGGAGACGCACTGACGACTGTTCAGTGTTCATAGACACGCACTGACGGACTGTTCAGTAGACACGCACGGACGGACTGTTCAGTAGAGACGCACTGACGGACTGTTCAGTAGACACGCACTGACGGACTGTTCAGTAGAGACGCACTGACGGACTGTTCAGTAGACACGCACTGACGGACTGTTCAGTAGAGACGCACTGACGGACTGTTCAGTAGACACGCACTGACGGACTGTTCAGTAGACACGCACGGACGGACTGTTCAGTAGAGACGCACTGACGGACTGTTCAGTAGACACGCACTGACGGACTGTTCAGTAGAGACGCACAGACGGACTGTTCAGTAGACACGCACAGACGGACTGTTCAGTAGACACGCACTGACGGACTGTTCAGTAGACACGCACGGACTTGGCGGGAAAGTCAAAGGGGACGCGAAAAATCAACGCCAACAGGAGATGGATTCTGCTCATCCTTTCCTTGCGACGTTCGTGCAACAACCAATCAGAGAGCAGCAAAGTGGTCACGGGGACATTAGCGGACTGAGCGAGCAGACTGAAAATACTCATAAACAGCCAAAACAGGACCCACACCAGACTTCACCAGAACTCAAACCAGGGCTGACAATGGGGGACTCTGTGCTTGTGAATATATGCGTTGTCATGCTCCTGTGACCTTATGCAACTGCTTCGAGTGTGTTCGCCAATGCGGAAATGCCGTTTAATAATATGAAAAAACGTATGGCGCACCTCCGTGAACACATACTACTGTTATTTAAAGCCCGTGGAAGGTCTCTGTTCAAAGACACGCTGCAAAGCTGCATATTGGAGAAGATCTGTACACAAGAAGCCGCTAGCATAGCTCTGTTAGCATAAGAGCCGGCCGGCTACTTCCGGCACAACCGGTGCGCGTCAGGACATCTCGGTGTGAAGACCTCTGCATCTGAAAACTAGAGAATGCGCGTCTGGTGAGCGGGGCTTCAGCGTTTCAGCGTTGTCGGTCTGAAAGCCCCATTATACCTGTAGTTGTGCAGCAGGTAAAGATTTAAGACTGCACACTGCTCCCAGCCCTGGCCTGTACCAGTAATCTACAAAACTGGATGTGTTTATGTCAATGCAATAAAATAAATATTAAATGATCTACAAATCCCCTTTTTGTTTCTTTGTATTTTAAACTTTCAACCTGTGTGTATCATTGTAAAGATTTGTTACAAAAATAGAATCAATGCACAGAAAAAGCACGTACTCATCAGTTTACATTATGGTACTGTATACTGTTATTTGACAGAATAGTGTGGCAACTGAACATGGATAAAAACTGTTCTTGAATCCATTTGTCCTGGTCTTGTTTTTTCCGGTCTTGTTTTGTTACACATGTATTTCATTTCATAATTCATATTTCAATTGCAACATAATCCACTATTTTACGCTTTTTCCCTGCAATACAACATAATCAAGCCACAATTAAAATAAATAAAACAAAATTCTGCCCATGTGTGTTTTAATTTGGGAATAAACCTATCTAAAAAATATTTACACTGGAACAAACACAAGATTGCGTCAGTAGCGGTAGATGTGGCGTCTCTTTATATGGACATGGCCATGGGTTTGGGCTTTATATAGGGCACTGTCCAGTTTCCGAAATGTGCTAAAAATAGCTCCGATGACTGCGCATGTTTCGGACAAACTCTGTCCGACTCGTTGAGTTCTACTGTGTTCTCCTCATACACGTGTGTATTTATTTGGGCTAAATCATTGAATCATGGTGACAACAAAACACTGCAGTTATGGTGCTTGTCCGAGCGATTTCAGATACTCTGAAAAGGACTATATGAAAGTAACATTCAACCCGTTCGTTAAACCACACCATCGGACCAGACCAGGACCAGACCAGGACCAGACCAGGACCAGACCAGGACCAGACCAGGACCAGACCAGGACCAGACCAGGACCAGACCAGACCAGATCAGACCAGGACCAGACCAGGACCAGACCAGGACCAGACCAGGACCAGACCAGATCAGACCAGGACCAGACCAGGACCAGACCAGGACCAGACCAGGACAAGTGCAACAGGTGGGTGCTTGTGGTCGGCAGAAATTCTCTCATGAAAATGTTAAAAAGGACTCATGTTTTTTCAAAACATTTGAAGCTGGACCATCTGTGGAGCCTCCAGATCCAGTCCTAGCTACGTTTAGCTGGGACTGGACCTGGACCTGGACCTGGACCTGGACCTGGACCTGGACCTGGACCTGGACCTGGACCGTCTGGACCGCTGTATCAGGTCCGTCTGAGCTCTTCTGAATGTAGTTAGCACAAACTTTCTCTTTATACCATTTACCCCATTAATCCATGTTAGTATTGTTTGTCCTAATCCAGAAAGTTTACAATTCTCACACCTGAAGAAAGATGAGAGGGATTTTTTCAACTTCGTGACTATCGGAAAATAAGTTCAGACGAAGAGCGTCGGGGTCCGTTTATTATACGGCTTTGTACGAACTAAACACACAAAATAAACTTCAGTCAATTTTATTAATGCCAAAAGGTTTATTTAATGACTGCAAAGAAAATAGTTCCCAAAGGTTTTCCCGAGGCAGGCGAGTAACAGTGAGGCTGGTTAACCTACTGGGGGTGACAGTAGCTCAGTTGGCAGAGCATTGGCCTTTGGGCCTGGAGGTCGTGAGTTCGATTCCCACCATGGGACCTACTCCAACTGCTCCCACTGATGACTGCTGTCGTTGTGTCCTTGGGCAAGACACTTAACCCCACATTGCCTGAAGCCCCCCGCTGAAAGATCAAGGCTGTTTCACAATTAACGGAGCAGCCATCTTCCTGTGGACTCACCCCCTGCAGAGGACCAGAGGGACTGGTGCTATGAGACTTGGGTGGCAGCTCTCATTGCCACCCCCCTGACCCAGAAATGGACAAATAAAGGGGTTGAAAATGAATGAATGAATGGTTCACCTACTTCAAAAAAGCGATCGCTTTAGTCGCATTAAAAAAGTATTTTTGTGATGAAAACCTGAACAGATCATTCTGAAAACCTCCGTGCACGTGTGTTACTAATGTATGTATAATATATTCTCCCATTAACATTTAAATGTGTCGATTGATTGTCTTTTGTGTTGATTGAGTGTGGTTCCGATAGTTTCTCTCAGAGACAGTAGTGGTGTAGCCCGTTGTGACCCATGGATCTATTATAATATCGACAGTAGCTAACTATATGATCAAACTAATTACAAAGTGAATAGTGCAAAAATAAACTTGATAAATGAAAGTTAATCACAGCAAAATAAACAAAGAAGGCGCTAACATTGCAGTTTTAATGACAAGATTATGTTATCATAATCCTCACCATTACCTTTTTATCAAATCAAACTTTCTACCAGTTACAGACCACGACATTCAAGCCAACGTTATAACTGGTCTACACTATGGTCCTGATGGTTTGATGGTCTACACTATGGTCCTGATGGTTTGATGGTCTACACTATGGTCCTGATGGTTTGATGGTCTACACTATGGTCCTGATGGTTTGATGGTCTACACTATGGTCCCTGATGGTTTGATGGTGGAATTTTGCTCCTGGTTTTTCATTTTCGTCTAAAGTGACGAGTGGTATTTGATTCATTTCGGCAGTGTTTGTCCGAAACATGTGGGCGGGACCTGACAGGCGGCGGGGGCGTGTCTTAGTGACGTCATTTAGATTGTTTGGTGATTGTATGACCCACTCCGAAACAGAAGGTGGCGATAATGCTCGATTCATTGGTTACCAATCGCTGTTAAACCTACAGAAGAAGTGTCTAACACATGCCTCAGAGTGTGGGTAAAACCTAAGCCTCTAGCACAGTCTTCATCACCATTTTTTCAACGATGAATGGACCTGAACGCATGGAGCTGCCCGCGGACAAGGACGAGCTCCACAGCGGGGCTATGAGCGTGGATTTTCCGGTGTGTGTGGTGCTTCCAGCCGGAGGCACCGGAGAGAGGACCGGGCTGCAGACACCGAAACAGTACTGCCCCATTCTGGGCAGACCGCTCATCAGTTACACGGTGCAGGCGTTTGAGAGGTGAGGCTCACACTCATGGAACCGTTATCATATCAAATATTCTAACGCGGGTTTAACACTGTAATAACACGTACTATAATAACAAAACACAACTTACAGCCAATCAGGGTAAGCTGCATTTCATTCATTCATGTGACTAGGGGATGCAACAGTTTGGAAACGTATTATTTATTTTCAAATATATTTTATGGACGTAATCAAAGTAAATTTAAGCTGTAAATGAGACACGAGTGGAATATTTGTGTCACTCGTCTCTCTAGAAACCTGTGGTAAACACCACAGGGTATGACGTTAAACTGCATCATGTCCCGGTGCAGGACATGGAGTGGTTTTTCCTTTTGGGCATCTGGGACATCTCCCCCAGTAATGGCCAAGACGTTTGTCAGTTCAGAAACTGACACTGGGTGCACCATGGCAGCAGGTGGTGTTGTACCTGTTTAGGCTTCTCCCTACGAAGCAGAAGTGGTTAACTAGAATTATCAATCTCAGACTTTGCCAAACTCTGCAGCTACTGGTGGAACAGGCTGTCAGGATCCTTTCCTCCAGAGTACCAGCACAATGCTCCCATCTCCTTAAACTCTGTGCAGTCCAATCGGCAACCCCCTAAGCCGCAAGTGTCAAGCTTCCCTGCGGTGCCAACAGGCCTGAGAAGTTGGGAGCTGGTAGTGGTGCAAGGTCCTTCCTGGGTGACCAGGCGGCCCTCTTTAGGGATGCCCCGCCTACCTCAATCAGAGTCTGTGGTAAACACTATGCCACAAGCAGGTATGACTGTTCTTAAAGATACTCTGTATCATTTTTACAATTGCTCCAAATGAAAAAAACATGTTAACCTTTCCAAGAATATTTACCTCCACCATGTTTTGGAATTGTTGTCATAGACTTATTATTCGTCCTTTAAATGCACATGAGAACTGGAGTTATATCCAGGTTAATGCACCAAGGGACAAAAAGGATGAGAGAATCGCGTTTTCATGTCACAGCCTGGTCCAAGCGCACAGAAAACTTTGTCCTGCACACAAAATAAAAATCCGGAGCCCCTGTGCCGCCAGCCCAAACAACTCAGAGCTGACAGCTCTCTGTGACGATGAGGTACACAGTCCGCGAGTGCGGGAGAAGTGCCAAACATAGAAGTCTGAAGCTGCGTTTGATTCAGAAAAGGTAAGATAAGATGGACTTTCTTGATCTCACACTGGAGAAATGTACATGTCACATTTGGCATAGATGGGATCACTCATTGTGCATAATATGTATATCAGATATATATATATATATATATATATATATATTATACATTATATATATATTCCAATTTTCTCCTCGTGGTTTGCCGCGAGATTTTTTCAATTAAAAAAGTGTGCCTTGGCTCAAAAATGGTTGAAAAACACTGGTCTATTGAGTTATGTACAGTCTATGGAGCTATGCGGGCAAAAAAGTTTTACAAGCAAAGCAAGTGTTTAAAAGACCGGCGCTGTGTAGTGCAGGGCACGTAGGATCTGTGACTTAAACATGTTGTGCCATGTGAGCTTTAACTACAATAAATTAAACAAGGAAACTATACAAAGCCTCAAGGCAGCGGAAATTCCTTGTATATTTTTTGTACTCGAGGAATCGTTTCAGCTCTAATATACACACACAACTCATATCCAGTCTGTCTGTGCTTCAGGGTGAGCTGGGTCCAGTGCATAGTGGTCGTGGTAGCTGCAGAAAGTCTCTCCCTGATGACGGACATCGTGCAAAACTACAGACACTCTAAAGTACACGTGGTTCCAGGAGGCTCCACGCGGCACCGCTCCATCCGCACAGGGGTCCTGGCTTTAGGGGAACTGGGGGGGCAGGACGGGGGACACGGGCCTAAAGTGGTCCTCATACACGACGCGGTGAGGCCCTTTGTGGATGAGGACTTTCTCTACAAGATCGTGACGGCAGCGAAGGAACATGGGGTCAGTATCCTACTGTATATGTTTATGTGGAAGGCAACATCAGTTTAATTTATTAATGTTAGTGTAAGTAAAAGAAAAGATCAATAAAAGGTGACGCCAGGAGCAGAGGTCCTGGACTGTCTCCCCCGGCCCAGACCTGTGGGCTGCACCCACCTAAGTCCTGATGCATCAGGGTCACAAGCGCCACACACCTCTCCTCGGCAGAGAAGGCTGCATCATGGGCTGTGTACACACCAGCAAAGCGCGCAGGGACGTGGCTCCCTGAATAGTTGGATTCTGATGTAACAAGCAACAATCTCTCTCAAATCTTCCAGTCCTCCTAATTTTTAAATACTAGGGCTGTCAAAATTATCGTGTTAACGCACAATAATAAAAAAACAATAGTTAATCGCGTTCAAAAAATAAGTGCATTTGACGCATGTCTGAATGACCCGCATGCCATAATAATACTCAGAATGCCGCGGACACATGCGTGTGTGAGATGTCGACAGAGCAGGTAGGCCCTCTGGGAATTCATGTTTAAAAAGAATATGTGAGTGACCGCAGGGCACTTGCTGTTGTTTGCTATGAATTCAAACATGGCAAACAACAGCCACAACTCCGTGGCCGCAGCTTCTGACCTGGGGCAGCTGGGACCGCTCTGGACTGCGGTTCCCACCTCCAGCGGATGTGAGCCGCTAACAACAACACAACGAACAGCGCCTCCATAACGTCATATCCAATACCATACACGCACAGAACTGTTCTCTGCTTGGTGTGTGCGTGTCTTTGCGTAACCTGTGCACACAATAAATACAACGCTGAAGCTGCACTACGGAGCCTCAGGAAGTGTCGGTGTCTCCTCCTGAAACGCAACTAAACTGCGTAATTTGGCCAACGATAGAGATTTTTGTTATACCGGCAAATTGCCATAGGTCATTATGTCATCAAATTGCGCAGGCTCTGACGGCAGCAGAAAGCACCAAAACAACTGTTTTGGTGCAAGTGTTTCTGTCTCTCTAGTGTTGTCACAGCGGCCCCAGCAGAGATACACACACAGTAATCACAGTTTAAGCGTCTACCTCCACACATCCATTAATGTTGACAAGCGCCAGTTAGCATCAGATTCGGACTTCCGCGGTCAATAGCTCACAAAAGCTACTTTGTTAAAAAAAAGTAATAGTACCAAAATGATCACATTTACATCGATTGTTCAAATCCAATGCGCTGTTTTATTGCAGAGAAATCCATTGCTACAAGCGCAGAGAAAAGCGCTTCGGGAGGGTCAACAAATGTCAAGACGAGCTTTGTAAACGAACAATAGCTTTTACTGAAGCCATGTACACGCACAAAAAGTCTCCCACTATAAATACTGACCATATCTAACTGGCGGCAGGTGATGAACTGCCGCCTGGTGATGAACTGCCGCCTATCACCTTTAACAGTATAGACGTCTCGTTTCTACTCACTAAAATTGAAAGGCTCACTGTGGACATAGCCGCCCTGAAGCAAGGAATGAATGCGCAAGTGAAAGTTTCCACCGAGCTTTGCGCTGCGTCTCAGGACCCGCCTGTGTGTGGTGGAGCAACAGGGCCCTGTGGAGGTAGGTGTGCCACCGCCAACCCAAGGCGCGGAGGACCCAGAGAGTGTGCGGGCCGCACCGGTGCCGCGAACGACAGACGGGAGTGGAGAAGAATTCGTACGCGATGAGACTCTGGTGGATCGCGTCAAGCTGCAGCACGGTGGCCAGACGCAGAGGACCACGGCTGCAGGCTGCTCTTGCTACCACCTTGGAGAAGCCTAAGCACCGGGTGAATAAGCAAAACCAGCGAGACAAGAGAAGCGGTATCGTCGGAACCGGTTCTGGGAACAGCATTCGGACTGTGAGGACTAAATTGGTGAGTGTCTTTGCCACGAAGTTTATACCTGAGCTGGACGCGGAAACGCTGTCACTCTATTTGCAAGAGAAACTCGGGCGTGATGTAGCATGTGTGAAGATAGACACAGTACATTTAAGGTCACTGCTGAGTGTGATGATGTTAAAGACATGTACGACCTGTGTCTTTGGCCTGAAGGAGCGTTCGTGCGCCGCTTTTATGAAGTGCGTAAAAGTAAGCCCGCTGTGATTCCAGTAGTTGCCCAGCGTGATGCCGGCCCGGCTAACCTGTGATATTGGAATATAATAATGAAGATCGTGTCATACAACTCCCGAGGCCTGCGTGTAGGACAAACTGCTGCAGATAAAGCACGACGGTTCGTTGTTGACCACTTATTTGAGAACTCAGACATCCTGTGTTTACAAGAAACATTCTTGCCCAAACAGGAGCTGGGAAAACTTAATTCCATTAATAATGACTTTCACGGAGCAGGAGAATCCACAACTGACCTCAGTATTGGCATGGTGCGTGGCAGAAGATCTGGTGGATTGGCAATATTGTGGCATAAGAAATATGACCCTGTTATCAGTGTGATCAGACTGGATGTTGACTGGTGTATTGGAGTCAAAGTTGCTATTGATAAGTAAGTAAGTAAGCTTTATTTATATACCGCCTTTCACAGACCAGAGTCACAAAGCGGTTTACAATTGTTATTTTTGGGCACTTGTCCTCTCACTCCACACAGAGATGGGAGCGGGGTCGCCAGTACAGGAGGCGCATGCCACACCTATTGGACATATTTTTAGTGGTAGGGGAAACCGGAGTACCCGGAGGAAACCTACGCAGACACGGGGAGAACATGCAAACTACTAGTTAGTAAAACTACTAATTCATACCAATGAATTTGTAATTTTGAATGTTTACATGCCATACGAATGTTCTGAAAATGAAGCAGATTTCTTTCAAAGACTGGCTTTTATAGGTTCGTTTATAGAAGATTGTGAATGTACAAGTATTTTTGTCATGGGTGATTTTAATGCAGATATATCTGATGTTACATCCTCGTTTGGTCAATATTTAACCCAATTCTGTCTAAATAATAAGATCATCTTGTCTAGTAAGGTCCTTTTGCCTGCTAATAGCCACACATATGTGAGTGAGGCCTGGAGTACTACATCGTGGCTAGATCACTGTCTTAGATTTTATATGGCATGGCTACAGCAGACCATATGCCAGTGTCTTTTACCTTGAACACTGAAAGCCTTCCTGAGCTCACCAAAAAGGAGAACCACATTTACAGTGGGAGAGTTGACTGGGCTAAATGCTCAGAAAGTGAGTTACACTACACTTACACTTAAGGTCCATTTTCCCTTTGAGGCCTTAAGCTGTAGCAATATGAATTGTGATAAACAAACTCATAACAATGCTCTCTGTGATATGTATAATGAAATAGTTGTTGGACTGATTAATTCCAGTAAACCATTGTTTAGAAAAGGGTCATCACATCAAAATAGCAGACCAGGATGGAACGAGCATGTGAATGAGCTCCATAAGCAAGCTCGATCAGCCTACATCAGCCTACATCAGCCTACATCAGCCTACATCAGCCTACATCAGCCTACATCAGCCTACATCAACTGGGTTACTGCTGGTAAGCCACAAAATGGCCGCTTGTGTGATCTCAAAAAACAAGCTGGTAAGCAGTTCAAAGATGCTGTTAGATTTATAAAGAGGAACGAAGAAACTCTAAGAGCTGACTCTTTAGCTGAAAAGTTATTAAAATATGATGCTCAAGATTTTTGGAAAGAAGTACAACATGAATGTAACAAAAATCCTTCTGCCCTCCACCATTGATGGGATAACTGGGCCTGACAATGTTGCAGAGCTTTGGAGAAAACATTATGGTAAACTTTTTAATTGTGTGAAAAGCAAGCATTTTATTATTGACAAATCAATGGATAAACACGTGAATATCACAGTTGTGCAAATAGCTGCAGCTATTAAAAAACTGTTTGTGGGTAAATCCTGTGGCCTGGACAAGCTAACTGCAGAGCATCTGAAGTATGCCAGCCCTAGACTATGTGTCCTGCTTTCACTTTGCTTTACTGGCATGTTAATGCATGGTACACTGCCTAGCTCACTGATGTCTGTCCTCTTTACACCTGTGATCAAGGATAAAACAGGAAAATTGTCTAGTTTAGAAAACTACAGGCCAATTGCACTCGCCAGTGTGCTTTCTAAGGTGCTAGAAATAATGTTATCAGAGCGGTTCCTGCAGTATTGTACCTCAAATGACGAGCAGTTTGGTTTTAAAAGCAAACATGGCACTGACATGTGCATATACTCTCTAAAAGAGGCTCTAAGTAAATATCAAAGGCAGAATTCTACTATGTTTGTGTGTTTCCTGGATGCTTCTAAAGCATTTGATCGTATTAACCATTCTAAATTATTTTATAAATTGATGCAAAGAGGGGTCCCTGCATATTTAGTTCGTCTCGCACCAAACCATGCAGGTTAAATGGGGTACGGCAGTGTCAGAACCGTTTCATGTGTCAAACGGAGTGAGACAGGGTGGAATCCTGTCACCTATGCTTTTTAATGTTTATATGGATGAGTTATCTGTAAAGTTAAGGCAGTGTAAGACCAGCTGCTCTATTGGAGACAGACTCTTGAACCACCTTCTTTATGCAGATGATCTGGTCATCATGTCCCCTACGCTGCAGGTCTGCAGCAGCTGCTGAGAGTCTGCACAGAATATGGGAAACAGTATGACATTAAGTTTAACTCTAAGAAGTCAGTAGTTATGGTGGTGAGGACCAAAGAACACCTGAAGACCTCTTTTCCTGCCTTTTATTTGTCTGATGTGGTGCTTCAGAATGTAGAGAAGGCCAAATACCTGGGGCACGTCATCAGGAGTGACCTCAGTGATGACGATGAAGTTCAGAGGCAGTACTGTCAGCTGTACGGACAGGCTAACACTTTGGCAGGAGATTTCACATGTGTACTGATAATGTGAATATAACTTTGTTTAAAGCCTACTGCACCCCGCTCTATACTGCCCCCTGTGGTGCAGATACAGTAAGAGTAAGTTTAAGAAGCTGCATGTTGCATATAATGATGCACTTAGAATGTTACTGAGAGTCCCTCGTTGGACTCGTGCCAGCTGTTTGTTTTTAATAATGTCCCCGCTCTGACTGCTGTGATCAGAAACTGTATTTATAAGTTCATGAAACGCTCTGAGCACTCTTTAAATGTAATAATGAATGTTTTTACTGTACAGAGCAGTGTTAGGCTCACCTCTGACCTCTGACCTCTGGAGGCATTGGAGAAGCTGTCTTTATAGAATTTTGTAAATATTGAATGTTTGTGTGTGTTTTTTTTGTCTCTTTTGTTTTATATGGACCCTTTGTGTGTCTGAATTAAAGATTTAATAAATAAATAACTGCTACAGAGTTTATTTTAAATGAATACATATGTTTTTTTAATTTTTTTATTGCTTTTACAGTAAATGGTCTTTACTCTATGTATGTTACAGCTTTTGTCTCTTTGTCTCACACCTGATTTTCAAACTCAAATATATATATTAGATTCAAATATATAAATAAGTATCAATATTGACTATTTTATGCAAGAACCTGTTAGACCTATATTGTAATTCACACACCAAATTATACCGTAATATATACCATTTACCGTCTGTGTCCCAAATTATACTGCAATGTGAATTTTAGGCCATATTGCCCACCCCTAGTTTCGGTCTGAGTCTACTACAGAAAGACAGAATGTTAATAATGTTATTATTAACATCAATATTATCCATTTTATATGGATTTATTGTTTATAATAAACAAATACAGTACATATGTACACTATGCAGGCCATGACATTAAAGTAGTACTAGAATGTAATATGCTGCTATCCAGAATATATAACTACAATATGTGTTATTATAATATTTCGAGTGTTCATTTTGACATGTTTAGATGAATTATGTTAAAAAAACGGCTTTGAAGTGGCACCTTCAAAGCCAAAATGGCGGCGATGACGTAGGAGAAGGACCTCTCACAGCAGCAGCAGCAGTCTGGGCTGAATCTGTAGGAGGTTTCACTGTCATCTGAACAACGTATAAACATATTTACATCAGTTTGTACATAATAGTGTGCAACTCTTTTAACCATTCAAGCAAACTAGTGTTGGCCAAGTTAGCTAACTCTACTTGATATCATAAAACATGCTAACAAGGCTAATATTCGTTTTTACATTATGCCAGTCTCACTTTGCCTTAGATTTATTTACCACAATGTACATTGTAATATCCATAAATGCTAATCAAAATAACTTGAATTAAATAAATATTTTACTTTTATGAACAAAAAGCTGCAGAAGTTGAAAACATAGACTACATGTGATGCAATCATTGATAAAAATGCTAATTAAACCGTTAATAGGTGTTAGCATTTATGGATATTACAATGTACATTGTGGTAAATAAATCTAAGGCAAAGTGAGACTGGCATAATGTAAAAACGAATATTAGCCTTGTTAGCATGTTTTATGATATCAAGTAGAGTTAGCTAACTTGCCCAACACTAATTAGCTTGAATCTCACAAATAAGGCTAAAAGGTTAAAAGAGTTGCGCACTATTATGTACAAAACTGATGAAAATATGTTTATACGTTGTTCAGATGACAGTGAAACCTCCTACAGATTCAGCCCAGACTGCTGCTGCTGCTGTGAGAGGTCCTTCTCCTACGTCATCGCCGACATTTTGGCTCCCCCTAGCGTTTCTATGCGGAAGTGAAAAGGTGCCACTTGAAAGTAGGGCTGAAACAACTAATCGATTAATCGACGACTAATTGATTATTGAAACAGTCGACAACTATTTTAGTAATCGATTAATCGTTTTCTGGTTCACACGGACTCAAA